GAAGTGTTTTTTAGTCGTAACGGTCATCGACAGACGGTTGAAAGTGGCCGTTCGCTTTTTGAAAGCCACTGATTGGTCAGCAGACAATTATGCCACATGGCATGATTTGCATAAGACTGTGGCTTGGGAATCACAGATTTGCATAACGTTACGGCTGGTGATGGCTAATTGGTCGGCCGGGAATCACGCCACACGATATTTGCATAGTGCTACGGTTCAGTAAGCACTAATTGGTCAGCGAGTCCGATGTTGACGCTATAAAAAGGCGACAGTTCGACAAACCGGATATACGACTCTCTTGTCTAAGTTCGACTTGGGAATTTTTCTTCCTGGAAAAAATAAGACCTAGCGCACTTTTCAGAGCAAAAATTAATATAAGACACTGTCTTATTTTCGGGGAAACACGGTAGAACCACTTCGCATTACTTGTCGTATACGAAGGATGGACAGAATTCGCATTGTATAATAATAACTGTTTGTTGGAGATCCTTCTCAAAATATGGCAGAAATAAGTATATTCGACGTCAGATGCCTCATCTGCCTGGATATTTACATCCAACCAGTTTCCCTAATATGCGGCCACGTGTTCTGCAAGACTTGTATCTTGCGTGTCTTGGAGATGAATCATTCTTCCCAGTATGTCGATCTCGGATGCGAGAAATCAGACGGAGAACGGATCGAGTAAAGGAAGTGAAACAGATCATGGCCACTCATTACATCGCATACGAATTTCGTGGCAACGCATGACTTTTATCGGGAATACGTCGGTACTGGAAACAATGCCAAGTGGTCTCCAGAAATCCCAACCGGAGAACCCGGAAAATCCATCGATGTGTAAATTGTCAAGAAATCATTTTGTCTGAGGAAAGAGTGGGAAAATCATCAGTCTGTTTACGATGTGCTGTGAAGAACATCAATTTCCCAAGAATCTGAATGAAGTTTTCACGAAGGGCCTGATTTGGAAAAAAATATACTGAATATATTTTAAAACGAATAATTGAAACATTTTGGTGAATTTGGACGAAAATTTTCAGAATTTTTAAAATCATTAAAATCTTATACTTTGTAACTAATGTTTTTATTTCAAACAAAAGAAATACACGCGAGAGTTTTGTTTACTGAGAATCGTACGAACTTTTAACAATAATTTCGCTTCAACACAAAATAATTCGTGGATTCGGGTCTAAACACAATGGCGAGTGTATTTATAGATTTATTCGGTCGGCAGACGAAAACGGACGCCATTTTAAAGTTCCAAAAGCTTGATTTTGGAACTTGTAAAATGGCGATTTTTCCTTACAATCTTATCGTAAAATACATTAAGGGCCGATTGCAGAGACAAAGTTTAGAGGCCGACGGCGGTTTACAGATCGGGTAGACCGCTGTTCAGAAAAATTTCATTGCAGAGACGGCGTTTCTCGCCTGCCACAATGTAGACAGCGATTAGAAACAAGTCATTTGACCTATTTTCTAGACTCACTGGACAGGAGGTTTAGAGGGCTTTTCAATTCGAGTGGTAGCTTTGTTCATGGAAAAGTTTAGATAAAAACAGATATCTTTCCTTTGATAAATGTTGTAAACGGTACGAATCGACAAAATTATTAATTAATTGCTCGGCGCAAAAACAACAAAATTAAATCCTTTAAATTTGTTTTAAATGTTCCAATTTCGACATTCAAATGGGCGCAGACTTAAAACTTTAATTTAATTTAAATCAGATGCATTTATTTACAATTCCAGTATCGTGTCGGTTATAAAATGTTAATGCATTTCCGAGTCATTGTACTGTTAAACAAAAGAGATAATTTTAATAATTACAGAAATCTGTTTATAGATATTAAAAAATGCAATATTAATAATAAAATATTTAAAATTATTCATTTCGACAGTAATAAGATGTCGAGATAATTCCTTAAAAATCTATTCCGAAGACGAATTTCGAATTCGGTATAAATTTTCTAAATATGGATTTGTTCATATTTTAAATCGTATTGGCGACGAAATTAAATATCGAAATGGAAAAGGATTGTCATTAATTGCCGAACAATGATTTTGACGGCCTTAAGCTTTCGGAATATAGCTGACGACCATTTCTGACGTCACGAATAACCCGATTGGCCGAACGACTCCTAAAACAGGGGAGTAATAGCGAAGTAAGTAAGAGCCAATGTTTTGCCGAAGTTCGTTTAGAGAACGGTCAGAAATAGACTATCGTCGTCTTTGCAACGCATTTTAAACTGCGGTTCAGCCAGCCAACGGCTATAGGCCGTTCGTTGATAAACGTCGTTTAATGTAAACTCTGTCTCTGCAATCGGCCGTAAGGGTTGGATCCGTGGGAAGACAAAGCAGCAGGGACCACTTCCCGGTAAAAGTTTCCCGGAAGGCGTGCCCTGGGCATGCCTCCTAGGAAAACACTGGATCTCCGGGCCCTGTAATAGTCGTGTCGGTCATCTTTCCAACTCCTTTCACGATATTAAGGAAGGACAGATAGATGACGAACGACAGTAAGTATTTATAGGTCTACAATTTTTCTCAAATTGCAGCCTAATAAGTACTCTCCAGTAACGGAGTGGATAAAACCACCGAACACCGGTAGTCGGTCGTGGGTTCGCGCAAGACCAACGGACTGGCCACGTGGCATTTTATTCGCGTTAGTAATACAGTAGAGTCTCGAAAACTCGGCCTAATGTGGACCGAAGGGTGGCCGAGTTTGTGAAAATGCCGGGTTATCGGGAATGGGGTTAAAAAATTAAGTATGAGTGTTTCCTCAGAAAATACTGTACTGTACTTGTATGTATTGTTTACTTGAAAATACAACAGAGAATAAACTGCCCAAATACCCTTAAACAAAGGAAAAGTACGTCCTTTATGAAGACAGAACCTTTACTACATGAAAATTAAAATTAATGAATACACTGTGTACAGTAATTTACCTGATAAGACAGACCTCAGAAAAATACTTTATGAGGCATAAAGCTGTCTATAATGAAAATTAATTAACTAAGGATTTTTTTGTCCTGCCAGGGTGTGACCGAGTTATCCGGACTGACGGGTTATCGAGACACTACTGTACTTAAATTGAGACCAACTTTACATAAAAGTCTTCCCGGGAGGCATCCTTATTGGCGATCGCTCACGTGTCGCATTGCCTTAGCCAAATAAACTAAACCAACTCTAATAATTTTTCTATAAACGCGATATTTACGAGGACATGCTTTAACTACCACAAAACCTGGACATCCTGCTCTATCCCGTGATTTCATCTTCCCTTAGAAGTTTGGGGCAATGGGTTTACGATTTACTTTCTCTGATACTGCTTNACCAACTCTAATAATTTTTCTATAAACGCGATATTTACGAGGACATGCTTTAACTACCACAAAACCTGGACATCCTGCTCTATCCCGTGATTTCATCTTCCCTTAGAAGTTTGGGGCAATGGGTTTACGATTTACTTTCTCTGATACTGCTTAAGATGTTCTAAGTTCAGCCAAATTGATGTACTGTATACAATTTAAATTAAAGAATTTTTAAAATGTGTTAGGTTGGTCACTCGGTGTGATAAACCCTTACGTAAGATAACCTTTGTAAATATAAATCAAACACTATATTATATAAGGGTTAGAAGTACGAAATACAGTAATCTAATAATCTTAATCTTTTCTGTTGTTATTTTTTCCGATCAAAACCAAGCTCATCTGCTAGTATTATATAAACGCATTTCTATTTATAATAGGTCTTTGATAGGTTGTGTGGATTCAACTACCCGTATCAAACACACGCACACGCACACAAAAACCCCTTCAAAATAAATATAAACGATATAGCGATATTCAAGACGTCTATCATAAAATCAGATAAACAATAAGAAATGAAAGTTCTTTATATATTATATTAATTTGCATTAAAGTATGCCTTAAAGCTCTGCTGATATGGTGGTTGTATAAAAATATTTAGTAATTTCTTTTCACAATCCATTTTAGCTCTAGTTCCTAGTAAGATTGGAAGCGTTTGGAAACTAGTCAAGTAGGCTAAAGATGCTTTATCTAATGCAACATGATTTATTTGAAAATGATAGAATATGTGACGGATTAGAAGCAACATCAAAGTAAATTACAATTTGTATTGCTAGAATTTCTTATAAAAAATTATTATACAATGACAAAAACTGCGTGTATAAAAACTACACATCGTTTATTATACACACCTTTTTATACTTGCAATATAATACATTTTCTTAAAATTTAATCTGACAACTAGAAGTAGGAATGGTATTCGTTAAAATTCCAAAATAAATCAACTAATTTGTTATCGGAACCTTTTCTATTTCTGTACTCTTCCGTTATAATTTGAAAATTCTATTGGAGAAGCATTACTTTGCGAATGATTCACAAAGTGACGCTACGAATGAGGAAATATTCGACTCATCGACTATTTCGAGCATAAATACACAATAAATTAATGTGAAAAATATACGTAGGGTATGCCATAGCAGTAATTGGGAGAACTTTGTAATATGTTTCCAAGTTTTCATCAGCAGTTGTATTTTATGTAAATATATAACAATAATTTTTTAAAATCTTTCACTTAATTTTATTGATTCACTGATCCATTTTGACGGTAAATTATGAGAAGTCCATTCGAAGTGTTAAATAAATAAAATAGGACAAATTTTAATTTATGTTATAAAAAATTAAATTCAAAATGTTTTAATTATTTTTTAATATATTTTAATAATTAAGTAATCCATAAATACACTTAATTACTTAAGTCTTATACATTCAAATATGGCATTTAAAAAATTTTAAACATTTTACATTTTTATATCAAATGTTATCTTTATATTTTTTGAAGTGTTTCTTATCAAATAAACACACTTAACATCCAACACATTAATTACTTTAAGAGACAAAAAAAAATTATGAATAATGTTTGATTTTGATCTTCGCCCACGATTCGTCGGAATAAGTTAAAATTTCGACATCATCAACATCCATATATAGATGCGTGTGTTACGTCAAAGGTGCCAACGAAATTATGTCGTCGTCTCTGTTTATGCTATATATACAGAAGCTTGTCTGAACTTAGCAATAGATGTTTCCTGTAAACTTCGCTCTCAAGAGTCAAAAAGTTAAACATAATCAGGTAATGTTTATCTTAAGTTCTGAAAAATTATTTTAATTTTTTTTTTGATAAAATAATGTTAAATTTAATAATATTTAACATCTAATTTGGATATAAAAAATTAGGTAGCGATTGCCTTAATTGTATAAAGGAGTGAGGTTAAGAAAAACAGGTCGTGTAATTATTATTTCTAATATTTGAGAATTTCCTAGATTTAAATACAATTATGTTGTTTTCAAAGGTTTTTTAGTCAAATATTTTTATTTTTAAGGCGAGATAATTATGAAAAATAGATTATAAAGTTTACAATCTTTATTGAAATCTCTCCAATGGTGACTAAAAAGTTGAATATATATACTTATATATACATTCAGCTTTATTAAATTAGAAAAATATTCGTATATTTTGAATTCAATGTTTTGAAAAATATATAATAAAGAAAATTTTAATTTCTTTTTTATGGCATATATAACAGAAGTTGATATAAAGAATGTTTTATTATGTTAATTGTGATTATAATTCAAGTTTTGGATTTAGAAACACATCGAAGATTTTTAGTTACAAATTCAATTTTTAAATTAATAATAATTAAAATTAATAAGTTTTTACTCAAATTTGTGTGTTTTTTTTAAATAATTATTAAGGCACAAAATATTTTTGGGATTAATTTAAACTGCGTAAAATAATTATTCAAGGTTATCTTTGACTTTAAAAAAAGAATGTATCAAGTTAGAAAAAACATCCTAAATATATAAATAAAAAAAATTATCTTAAGATTTCTCGACTAAGTCGAATTAATTCTAAATATAGAAACCACCTCTGCAAAGTTCATTTCTGTATGGTATTGTATACAATGTCACAGTTTCGGATAGCACTGGCAAGAAAACAAAAAGTATTCGTATGTTTCTATTTTAGATAAAGAGAGAGAGATTCTAAAAATTTTTTGAAAATTTTATATAATGTAGAATTGTTTTAGATTGCATTTTATAGAATTTTACGCAGAATTTCTAAATTTCTCCATTGATAATTTAGCAATTTTAAGCTTTAATTCACTAATAAACTTTTTACTTCATCAGTTTTGGATATATGAGATAACCCAATTTTAAATATCATAATGGATTCTAAATCATTATTTATTCGTTAGCAGAATTTTTAAGATTAGAAATCTAAATTGCTATACTAAAAAAGAAACAATACTATTTTATTATATTTTATTGTTGGTGATTGTGAATTATAGTAATTTTTATTGTGCTTACATTATACTAGGGAAAAAAATTTTGACATCTGCTGCAGAAACCATATTTTAGTCACATGCTCATCTTTAATGCGTTTTAATATAGTAGCAATTAATGTATAATATATAAATTCTTAATTTCTTTCATATTATTATTAATATTTAATTGGTAATAAGTACAGTACACAGCTAATTGAAATTTCTTATATAATAATCTTAAATGTTTTCGAATCTCAGGAATCTATCTCCAAGAAGCAATAAAATAAATAAAAATTGGCATCTAACTTCGAAAAAATCGAACAGAACAGATCATTTTCAAAGAATTGAGTAGTTTTCTGCTGCTTTAATAATATATTCTAGTTTTATAGTGCTGTGGAACATGTCTGGATAGTGTTGTTACAAGCGCAAAATCAAAATTTTCAAATGGATTTTGTTCTGTAATTTATATACAGTATTAAGTTTTGAAAATATAAATTTCAACGATATTAAATCAAGTTTTACAAACACGAAAATTCGGGAAATAGTTTTATAAGTAAAACGTCCCAATAAATACTGTATATTGTAAGTATTAATGATGATTTTTGGGGCGTACGACAGTGAATTTCTAGACTTATAAAATCGTATTTATAGACCTACTATACGATGTCATCTAAGGCTACAGTTATGATCCTCTCTGAAGATTCCTCTGTCTGAATCTGCGCCGTCTTTGCAGAGCCCTTCTTAATCGCCCTTTTGTTTTCTACAATACCTTATCAACTTTCAATCATTTTATTACATTCAAAACTTATTTTTCTTATTCTTTATTATAATTCTTATTAAATTGGAAACTCATTGTATTTCTTCGGAACGATGGTGTCGGGATAAAATCGTCTGGACGTACGATTCCCTCGCTTTTCCTTCTTCTCGAGCGAGCAACGGTTGTCATGGAAACGCGGATCAGGCGATGACAGTGGTTTTGAAACTCGACCGCGGATTGGCTAGCAAACATCGTACGATCATCGGACGTCCGATAGCGTTGCTAGACGTTGATTGGTGGACTTACATGCGTTTCAATCCGTATAAAAGTACTGTATTGAATTTGGGCGGGAATTTCAGTTCGCCTAGGACCTGGTAAGGGAACTCAAGTTGATCAGACATCATCAAAGTACGTCGGGACTTGCTAAAGAAGTTGCTTCGTCTTGCCAACTTGTTAATGACTGTCCCAAGGAATTCGTCGCAAGGAGTCCTTTTCGACGGACCTGTTGTTGTGGTTTAATTGACATTTGAACTTTGTTATATCTGAATTATTGTAATTGGTTTATTTTTGTGAAATTCATAACTGTATGTAAGTTTTAATCGTTAATATAAACGTTTGTGAATTGTGAACTAAGTGGTTTTAGAACTTGACTGATGGCTTTACTATTAAGAGAAATCGCCTTTTTTCCAAAACGATATCGTTAAAACTATCCAGAAACATTCTAGAGCGGGAATAGTGAATATTTTTTGAGTCTGTATGCCGAAGTCGACATTTAACTCATTTTTGACTCTGTTCTACGGACATCAAGAGGGTCGTTTTTCCCACTACATCATGAATTCGGTTAGGCTTACAATGGAACAGTCGAATAGTGAGGAACAGTGTTCAACAAATTCGGCACAGACCACTCGTGAAAAATTTTAGAGAAATGAGTTAAATTTTATAAATTAAAAAGTGGAACTGTGTCTCAAATAATAATACTTTTGCATAAGAAAATTTTATGACGCGAGTCTGACACTCCAAAACGTGAAGCTTACTAAAAACTCAATTATTCTAACAAAAAGTCATAGCTTTACCATCAAAAGAGCAAAACTGTTTATAACTTATTTGAATCGTACGAAACAAATATTTATGATGATAATAAATACCTAAATTAATTGCGATGAAACATCGTTAATTAAGTAATAAAGATTACATCACATACCGAATTTAAACTGAATATTTCACTCGATTGTCGATCAATGAAATTAGCTCATTGTCTGTTATTTACTCGTAATTTGTGATTATTGGGAGGCGAACGGTAGAATCGAATTTAAATTCTTTTGAAAAAATTGTATATGCTTTTATTCAAATTATTTAACAAATGTAACTAGTAACAGCCAAAATATGATATTTTGACCGTTTAAAAAATAATAAATATTCATACTTTTTATTGAAAAATATGAATATTTATTCTAAAATTTTATAATATTTAAATATTTATCAACGATTACAATAACGATTGAATTGAAAAGATGGATATTAATTAAGAAGTGGTGACAATTAAAATTGAGATTTATGAAAATACTGAAGACAATTAAATAAATCAATCTATTGTAACCAGGGGCGGATCTACATAGGGACTAATAGGGCTTAAGCTCTGGGCACCCAAGTGTCAAGGACCCACAAAAATAGAATTATTTTCATAAAATTTTAATACTTTTTCATTAACAATGAACACTTATCGTGTAGTAAAAAATAGTTAATAATAATATAATAATAATGATATATAAATGAATTTTAAACTCCAATTTAAAGATTTTAATCTAATAAAAAATGAGGCCCAGTTGGACTTCAATAATCCCCGAAAAACCTAGATTCGCCCCTGATTGTAACTGAAATACTAATAACTTGCTTATCTATTTGTATAACGTATTGATTAGCGATACAGTAGAACCTCGAAAACTCGGCTCTCGATAACCCGGCACTCCGGATAACTCGGGCACATCCTGGCAGAGCAAAAAAATCCTTAGTTAATTAATTTTCATTATAGACAGCTTTATAAAAGTATAAAAGCTCTCATAAAGTATTTTTCTGAGGTCTGTCTTATCAGGTAAATTACTGTACACAGTGTATTCATTAATTTTCATTTTCATGTAGTAAAGGCTCTATGCCTTCATAAAGGACGTACTTTTCCTTTGTTTAAGGGTATTTGGGCAGTTTATTCTCTGTTATATTCTCAAGTAAACAATACATACAAGTACAGTACAGTATTTTCTGAGGAAACACTCGCGCTTATTTTTTTTAACCCCATTCCCGATAACCCGGCATTTTCACAAACTCGGCCACCCTTCGGTCCACATTAGGCCGAGTTTCCGAGGTTCTACTGTAATATAAATACATTTTAATAATTTCAAAATAATTTTAAAAGTGTTTGTATTAACTTTATTTTGTTTATTCATTTTTAACATCTTTATCTTATTATTACTGATTAAAAATTTTTTTAAAAAATTGAATTTTTTCCGGAATTTGCTTCTGTTATTTGTGTTTGCCACGACTTATTTTTCCAAAATAACATTACATTAGTCAAATAATTTGAAGAAAGTAAAGCTGTAATTTAATATAGAAATTTATTTTCTCTTTATTATATTCATAAAATGATATATACGATCGTTTAATTCCGATAAAAATAACAGATGTCATTAATTAAATAATTAAATCAATTATATAATAATAAACGTTGAGAAGAGTATATGATGCAATTTGAGATACTTCAGATAAAATTACAACTATTTTACTTTAACGTATCTTATTAATAGGATAAAAAATTCAAAGGAAACAACTTGAAAAAAAAAAAACTTAAAAATTAATTTACTCGTCATCTATAAATAGGCTAATTGATTACATTCATAAATTTTTCAGTTTTAATTACAACATTGTAATAATTTGTTTGTTTATTTATTGTAGAATATATAATGGGTTCTACATTCAGGCACAAGCATCTTTTCATGTTCCATAAATTTTGGGGTAAAATAATTTTTAACTTTACATATATTTATTATAGTTATAACTGATATTTTAATATGACTTTTTGTGTTTTTTTTTTTTTTTGGTACTTTTATAGATGCTAATTCGGATGGAGTCTTAACCTGGGATGATTTCCGATTGTTAGCAGAGGTAAACGAATTTCTATTTTGCGTTAACAAATACGCCAAAATAATCTAGGCTTACTCTATCTTAAATGTAATAAACATAAACGTAATTTTATGTATATCATTAACACTCCCATTCCATGTCAGAATCTGTTACAAAATTTTTACATATACGCTCAGTTTGAACGTCATATTTGAATGATTTCTAAAAATCTGTTTTATTGTATTTTCGATTAATAAAGTTTTAAAAAAATGGAGGGTGATTCAAATTGGATCACCCTCCTTATTCAATAAAAAATTTACAGATTATACTAAAAATGATCTGTAAGTTTTCATGAGTTTTCAGTATCCATATTTTTGACTGCCTGATATAAGTAATTTAATGTAATCGTCTTCCTGGCTAACTCAGTTTAGGTTACCTTGTAGTTAGGAATGTAACTTAACAAATTTAGAAAAGATTAACGAAAATTGCAAAAAATATTATAAATTTCGACTGGAATCACATAATTTAAATATATATATATATATATATATATATTAAAATTAAAAATATAGTCTACTTTGGTTTAATTCTGTATAATGTAGTACATGGTTCTCCAACCTACAGCCCCCCGAAGCATATTTATGTGGCCCGAGTAACTTGTTTTCACCAACATGTTTTATCAACACATTCGAATAGTTTAAAGTATATAAACTGTTGAAAATATAACTAGAATGAATAGACTGTGATGTAAATGATTTTTATAAAAACCTACTTAAAGAAGAGTTAAATTTTTACAAATATCTGACAGAAGAGCATCTTAGGCCTAAGTCATAATAAGTTTGCACGGGCAAACTTATTATGCCTTAGTTTAATAAGTTTTTATGCCTTTTTATGCACTGTGTATATTACTGTATTTTTCTTTTTTTTTAAACTTGCATTAAAATTAATTAATTCAAAGTGAAAAAATGTAGATATTCTTGTAATATTTATATTATTTATTGATTTTTACATTAAAGGCATAAAAGTACAGTATATATATTCAAAGTATATAGTTTTCTATATTCGTTTCTATGTACTGTACAGTACCCTTGCGAACAAATCTTTTCCAAAATCAAATATATAAAATTAAATTATCAAATATAACCATCTAACAAACACCTAAAGGAGATTTTAATGTTGGGTGTCACAAAATTTGATCCCCAATTTTGATGATCTTTCAAAAAAGTTTGTAAATTGCACATTGATTTATGTCCGTTGTTATTCAGAAATTAAAAAAAAATGTTAATCTTTGACTATCTTTCAAACCCGGTTCCTAGAGTTGATTTTTACATCTCACATGGTTCTCCTTATAAAAAGGATGGAGACCCCTGATCTAGTAGGCTATAACGTATAATCTAACGAAGATGTTTTCAAATTAATTGATATTTCTTAAATTTTAATCAGTTTTGCAGAATTCCTGCTTGTTCTGGTATAATAGAGCTATCTTGATGCTTATTTTCTTTGATGTTGTGTTAATTAGCATGTCTTTGATATAATTAGTTTGTGATTTCTTAATATATTTTAAAATATTTATATTTCTAATTAGAAATATACCAAGATACAAAGAAGAGGTAAATTAGAAAAGGATGTTTTCGAGCGATGGAAAACAATATTCGACAAATGGTGGAATGAACTCACAGATCATGCAGATTTCAATAAAGTAAGCCATAATTTATACTCTGCGCGGTCCATAAACTTTAAGACAGGAATTATAAAAATAAAAAAAAGCACGAGAGAAATATAGTAGACTATAGTATATACAGTATATATATTCAAAGTACGATCTCTTGGAATGTAGCCTATACACGGTTTAGCGTGACGTGCAATTTTTGTAGAGCTGCAGAAAATTATTTTTTTCCAATTGTTCTTAATTTGTCGACCTTCCAGTACTAACTATTTGTGAACTATGCCTTCTGAGTTAAAGTCCACCAGTGGCCGAGTGGATAAAATCACCGAACACTAGTCGTGTGTTCTCGTCTCACCAATGACTGGCCGCGTAGAGTTTTCTGGGTTTTCTTCACGTGCCTAATGCCTCTATAGGAATCAATTCCCATTGAAAATCTTCTCCGCAGATATCATCCTTCGCCCGCGAGTCGCGTTGCCACATACAAACAACAACGGGCAAAAAATTAAGTCCTAAAACTTATGGACTGCACTGTGTATATTACTGTATTTTTCTTTTTTTTTAAACTTGCATTAAAATTAATTAATTCAAAGTGAAAAAATGTAGATATTCTTGTAATATTTATATTATTTATTGATTTTTACATTAATTTTAAACATATTTCTGGTTAATTTGTAAATTAACTTGACTTTTTTTCTTTATAGGATACAATTGTTGAATTTGATGAATGGTTAAAATTTTTTAGCAATCTTGGTGCATCCACAAAGTGTCATAAAGAACTTCCCGAATTTCTTCAGACTTACCTTCATTTGTTTTTTCAATGCATGGACAGTAACAGTAAGTTTGTGTGTATGTGTGTGTATGTAGCATATATATATATATATATATATATATATATATTAATGTACAGAATGTAATAAAATAATAATCCTCATTCGAAAAATATAAAAATAATCTGTTTTATTTCGCAGCGTTCCGTGGAAACACAATATATTCAGTATATATGAATGTATTTTGTGTCCCATTAAATGAACGACTCAGTTATATAACAGCTATAAAATTCAAAATAAATGAATAAATTTATTGAAAAATGCAATAGCATGCCATTCTTAAGATATCTTCAAAACAAACATATCATTCATGAATTGATATAAAAAATTAATTGCATAGTTATAGTACAATTTATAAACAATTATTCGTTTAGTAATTTTGAATGTAAACTCACTCTCGGTAATTTGAATAATATTACTACAACTAAGAAAAAACAACAACAATACAGGTAACCCCCGTATAACACGGCACTTCTATAGCACGGATTCACTCTAACACGGTTCGAGAATTGGAACCATCCCCGTATAGCACGGTGCTTTTATAGCACGGGTTCACTTTAACACGGTTCGGGAATTGGGTAAAACCCTAGTACAAAATGAAATGTAATAAAGAGTGCGTTTTTTTATACCTCCGCGTAACTCCGCGCGAGCATTCTAATTGTTTTCGTGGCTACTTTGAATGCTCTTTCAACAAATAATCCATTTAATGGTTAAATTTTACAATTGGGACCCTTCTTTTGCCTCTAAAAGCTCATTTTAGAATTATAGATTCTTCCATCACGATAATATCGATAGTGCGGGCGCCACCATCTTTCTTTCACCGTTGTTCCTAAATGCCTACAAACAGCAGTGCACTCCCGTTGCAGAGAGACTGCTATTAACGAACGCACCCAAAAACTGTTACTAGTTGATAATGCTCATGCTGAGATCATCATATAGGATGAATAATCCTCTGGTAAAATATTTACTTAAATAATAAATAAGTATTTTACCTATGAAAAAAATGAATAATAAATCCGATTTAAATAAGGATTTAAC